TTAATCAGCAACTGAATGGATAAGAAAATTGTGGCTTTTGTTGTTGTTGTTGTTGTTGTCAGAACCAACCTTAGTGTTGGTTCTGACTCATAGCATCCTTGTATAGGTTTTCCAAGGAGCGACTGGTGGTTTTGAAATGGAGACCTTGTGATTCAAACTGACCTTGCTATCCAGCTTTATCCTACAGCACAATGTGATGTATATGTACAACTACTCTTTTGTTAGTTGTCATCTAGTTGGTTCTGACACATAGCCATCCTTTGCGTGGTGTTGCATCATTCTTGAAATCTTTGTTGTGTTTGAACCCATTGCTACAGGCACAAGAACTGTTAATCTCATTGAAGGTCTTTCTTTTATTGTTCACTGATGCTCTACCTTACCAAATATGTTGTACTTTTCCAGGGACTGGAGCCTTCTGATAACAAGGCAATGCATGTGATACAAAGTCTTGCCATCCTTACTTCTAAGGAATATTCTGGCTTTACTTTTTCCAAGATGTATTTCATCATTCTTCTGGCAGTTTGTAATATATTTACTATTCTTATCTAATACCATAATTCAGAGACATCAATTCTTCTGCCATCCTTGTTCACTGTTCAGAGTTGCAGCATTCAGTTGGGTCACTTAGTTTAGATTGGGCACAAATACAGATTTCTTTAGTCGTTGGCCAGACATTTCTCTTCCAAATTTCATGGCATAAAGGAAGGAGTAAGCACCTCAAGGGATGCATCTATTTGTTAAAATATTTTAGTTGATATTTTGTCAATTCCTGGTACCTTGTCTCTTTATAAACCTTCAGTGTAGCTTGGATTTCACCTTCAATATCAGTGCTTCTTGATTGTATGTATGGAAATGGTAGAACATTGACCAATTTTTTTAATGTACAGTGACTGTATTCCTTCCAGTTTCCTTTGTTTCATTAGATAAATTTCCCATTGGATCTGTCTATATATTTATAGCACCTTAGGGCTTGAGCTTTTCTTTATTCCTTCATCTTGGTAGCATCGTAGTGGATTATGAATTATGCTGCTCACCACAAGATCATAAGTTTGAATCTACGAGATACTGTATGGGAGAAAAATGAGTCTTTGTGCTCCCATAAAGGTTATAGCCTCGGATCTTCAATACAGGGTCATTCACTATGAGTCGGGAACAACTCAATGGCACACAGTCACCACCAAACATCCTTCAGTTTGAGAGTTGCAGAGTGTGTTATCTCTTTTGATTTTCTAACTCTAGGTCTTCTAATAATTTATGCTTCACTTCAGAAAAACAAAACAGAAATCCCTCTCTCTACACTTTGAATTCCAGAGGTCCTGTCTCCTCATCAGTTATAGTATGAAAGTGGAGCTGAAAAGCAGAGACCTGTCCACCTGAGTGACCCTGTTAGTATTTGAAATCTCAGTGGCACAGCATCAAGCATCACAGTCATATGTGAACAACGACAGCACAATACATTGAAGTGGTGGATACGATTAATTCTCAGAAATAAAAATAATAAGCTCTAGAATCATGCTACAGTATGGATGAATCTCAAAATAATTGTGTTAAGTTAAATTCAGAAAAAAAACGTATATATTGCATGACTTTATCCATTAAAAAGAAATTCTAGAAAATTGAAACTAACCAATGGTGACAGAAAGTTATTGCTTGCTATTGGGCATAAATGAAGGGTGAGAGAAAGGATTACAAAGGTGCATAGTATAACTTTTGAAGGTAACAGTTATATTCATTATCCATAAATATTGTTTTCAAAGATATATACATATTTTAAAATTGATGAAATTATGTTGTTGTTGTTATGTGCTGTGGAGTTGGTTCCGACTCATAGCGACCCTATACAGGGTTTCCGAGGCTGTAAATCTTTACAGGAGCAGAAAGCCTCATCTTTCTCCTGAGGAACAGCTGGTAGTTTCGAACTGCTGACCTTGCGGTTCGCAGCCCGATTCGTAAACACTACGCTAATTATATGAATTGAAAATGTGCACTTTACTTTTTTGTTGTTATGTGCCATCAAGTCGGTTCCGACCCATAACGACCCTGTATAGTATCTATAAGTAGTGACTGGTCAGCACCACATGGGTTAATGGGCTGGACTTTAGAGTTGGATTGAACTGCAAGGGGAGCGGTTCAAGGTTGCCAGCCGCTCCTTTGAAACTCTATGCGTGGTCGTTATGGGTTGGAACTGACTCAACGGCACTTAACAACAACAATAACAACATTTTACTTTATGTCAAATATGCCTCAAAACTGGTTTTAAAAGGAAGAACAGGTAAACTTCCTCATTCTGATGGGGCTATCATCAAAAAATCCAACTGCATATAAGTGAAATAATAAAATCATTAAAGCTCTTATTCTGACACAGGAAGTCATATTTCTTTCCTCCCTTACTTTCAAGTAGGAAAGATTAAAGACACAATAAAGTAGCTATAAATTTCAATTCTTGTAGTTAAGTGTCCTTGAGTTGGTTCCAACTCATTGCAACACTGTACAGAATTCTGAGTAGTGGGTTTGAACCACTGACCTTATGGTTGTTGTTGTTGTTAAGTGCCATTGAATCGGTTCTGACCCATAGCGACCCTGCATAGGGTTTCCAGGGAGCAACTGAGGAGCTCAAACCGCTCACCTGGCATTAACCCACAGCGTCACACCAGGAGCCTGGTTAATAACTAAAACTACTCCAAAATAAATTACCACTATAAATGAAAAAATTGTATCATATTAACATTAATAAATTCTATTGCTTAAAAGGTCTCCAATATGGGAATCAAAATATAAGTCAGAGAGAAAAATAAGACTAATTGAAACTTAGGGTAAGCTGTGCTTATCCTACAGCACCACACTTGGACTTCATAAATTTTATTGGAAAGAATAAAATTGACATGCCATAATGGAATACATTTTCAGATAAATTATCAGAATTAATCAGTGTATTTAGAAAGATTGCCAGACACATGGTCATTGTACATAATTTATATTATGATAAATGAAAAATATCAAAAAAAGAAATGTAAAAGATAATTGGAGATAAGTAAAAGAGACAAAAAAAATTCAAGACTTACATACAAAACATAAGATTGGCTGCTAAAACCCACCAGCAGCTCTTCAGATATCCTGTCCAAGGTCGCTATGAGTGGAACTGACTCAACAGCACTTGACAATGACAACAAAATCTTATATGACCATCATAAGTTCTAATATTAAAGTCCTTATAGTACTAAGTTTTGATGAAGACATGGGTCAAGGGGTAAGTTCAAACACTACTTGATGAAATGTGCATTTGTCTTAGAACTGGTTAACTGTTGAGATAATTTTTAAAATATTGATAAGTATATATGTCGACCATGCAATTTCATTTCTGTGAATCTAGGTAATATGTTCAAAAGACATTCAGAAAGATATTTAGAAAATCATTAGTCACTATTAACTAAGTAGTAGCTAAATATTTTAATAATCATTAAATTACCAACCAACAACAGAATGGATTTTAGAATGTTTATTCACATAACAGGGAAGTTTCTAGTGGTACACGTGGTTAAGCACTTGTCCACTACCATAGAGTGGCAGTTCAAATCCACCAAGATACACTTTTGAAAGGTTACAGCCATTGAAAACTCTTTGAAATACAGTTGAAGTTTAAAATACATGGGTCTTATGAGTCAGAATGGAGTCCTGGTATGGTGCTGGGGGAAATAGTACTGGACTACAAGGTCGGTTTGAACCACAAGGTCAGTGATTCAAACTTACCAGAAGCTCCTTGGAAACCCTATACAAGGTCCCTGTGAGTTGGCACTGACTTCATGGCACTGAACAACAATAGCAACAATGAGTCGGAGTAGACTCCATGGCAACTGAATAGGTTGCTTGTTGCTGTGTTTGTTCTTTGTTTCAGGTTGAGAGTGATTATTTACATAACATACTAATCATTGAACAAGTATCACACGTGAATGAAAGGAAATAGATTATAACGTACACTATATGATTCCACTTTCATAAAGATTAAAAACAAGCTCTATAATATTGGAAATCAATATAGTGGTTTGAGAAGAGGAAGGAGAAGTGATAAGAGAAAACACAGTGCAGAGTTCACAAGAGGTTTACAGTGTGTATTTCTGGATAATCTGTAATTGCATTGGTCTATAAAATTTTTCATTAAACTTCACCGTTTTTTGATATATTTAGATTTATTTCTGTATGGTAAAATGAAATAGCAACATTTATTTTAGGAAAAAATGAGTAGAAGCAAGAACTGGAAAGGAATCACTGTACAAAGATGCACTATAAATAAACATTATCAATTCAAACTACAGATAATAAGTAGCTTTGAAATAAAGCAAAAATCTGGACAAATCAGTCTTGAAAGAACTACATTCAGAATGCTCCTTAGAAGCATGTCAAGACTTTGTCCTGCTTACTACAGACAAGTCATCAGGAAAAACCAATCACTTAGAAAAGGACACTTTGTTTGGTAAAGTAAAGGATCAGTGAAAATGAGAAACACACACCATGAGATGAACTGACAACAATGGACACAAACACACCAATGATTAGTAGGATGGCTCAGAAAACTGTGATCAGTGTCTCAAAACAAAATGTGATGATTTGTTGCATAACTACACCGATTTGCCCTGTAAACTTTCATTCTAATCACAATGCAAAGGAAAAAAAAGGAGTAGGACCGAATGACATTTGGTTTTATTGTAACTAAAGGCTACAAGGATCGGAGTTAACACCATACAAAATCATGAACGAAAATACGGATGAACCCTTAAGATCAAAATATCAACCCAAATAAATAAAGACACTAAACAACTCATCTAGTATAACTCTATTTCTATTTCTTTAAGATTGTAAAGTATGGGAATCTAGTCTTTTAAGATGCATAGGAAACCTGGTATGCCAATAATAATTTTTAATAAATTTTATTGGCTCAAGTATATATTTTATTTATATTTATTTTTGTATATTGTATTTTTTAAATAAAATATATGAAATCTTACCGTTTCTTCGTCATTTTCCATAGAAATCAGATTGGATTTATTAAGAGCACAGGCTGTTTTACTTTCTGTCCAGGTTTTTTTATTACTACTAATAAAATAGCAATTGTTGAAATAATAAAACCAGTCTTCTGGACAATGATCACAATGATGCACTGAGGAATGATTCTGAATTACTATAGAAAATAGTTCGAATTACAAATGCAAAGTTAATTGACATTATTGAATAACAATGTTATTATATTACGCATAGACATACACAATCTATAAATATAATTTACAGTATTTGCATAAATAAATACATACACACAAAAAAATCATCAGACTCCCATCCCTAATTTATCTATCATTAAAAAGACCTGTGCTATTCAGGTTCTGAAAATCACTGAACAACACCAGTTTATTAGAAGAGTAAAATTATTTTATCTCTTATAATATTATGCTGTTGTTGTTTGTTAAGTGTTGGCAAGTTGATTTTTCAATTCATAACCATCCATGTAACACATTAGAAGTTTCCATAGGGAGTTTTAGACTGTAATTATATAGGAAGAGCACCGTGGCTCTGTGGATAAACACTAGACTGTGAACCACTAGTTTGGAGATTTGAAACCACCAACTGCTCTTCAGAAGAAAGAGGAGGCTTTCTACTCTCACAAAGATTTACAGTCTCAGAAATCCTATATAGGGAGCTGTGTGTCAGCACCAATAGAGTGGCACTTACCAACAATAATTACCCATATAGAAGCAGTAGAGGATTTGAGTCACTTGTCAAACAAGGGTATAATGATTTTAAAAGAATGTTTCTGCTAATATCTGATAACATGAATGCCCTCTTATGATTTTTATCTACAAAAATTATTGCTATATTTTAGAAAGTTTTTAGATGCCTTATTATTTCTTTATGACCTAAATAGAGACAAGATATGCTGTGGCACTGTGGGATAACACACTGGACCACAAGTTCTCTTTGAACTGCAAGGTGGGCAGTTCAAACTCACCAGCCACTCTTCAGAAGCCCTATAAAGGGTTACTGTGAGTCGGAATTCACTCGAAGGCACTTAATAACAACAATAATCTTAACATACCAGAATTTAAAAAATGTTTACATACCTTTCGGGACTCTGTTCTTTCCCTGTATTCTAGTGCCTAGAAAGAGCAAAGTAATTCTCATAGTGATTAATATTTCTGTAACAAATCATAATAGTTTTGCTGTCTAGCATATTCTTTGATGTATTATTTTAAAATATAATAATGTATTTTTATAATATTTTACCAATGAAATTTAATCTATAAAGGTCTCAAGAAAAATATTTGAAAACTTTCAGGAACAAATATTTCCATTTCTTATAGTATTTGATTTAATTTCTTTGAAAAATTAACTTTTATTTCTCAAATCAGTGTTTTCAGTCTTAGTGCAAGTTTGGAAATGCATATGTATATGCACATATGTATAATATACACATTTAGAATGAAAAAACACGTATTCTTTACAATCATTCTGTTATTAATCTCTTTGAAAATTTTAGAATAACTTTTCCATATTCACTTCACATTAATGAGGCATTCTAAATTTGTCAAGTTTAAACAAAATTGACAAACATATGACACAAATGCATAAATTAAAATGAGAGTTCTACTCCATAATATTATGAAATATATTGAGGCACTTTCAAAGTTTTAAAAGGAGTATCCCCTTATAGTATTTTACAAACTTACCAGGGTTAATAACTTTGACAATTGCTATGCTGGCCATCAAGACAAGGCAGGTGACTCCTAAGATCCCAGCAGTGAGCTTTCCTGGAGGAGATGGACAATAAACAAAGTGATAAAATGGAAACACTGAGAAAAGATAGAGGAAGGCTATGTGTACAATGTTGTATTCAGGAGAAGCCAGAAGCACAGGGAATCATAGGCACAAGTACTAGACCTTGAACCCACATTCTCTATTGCAATTTTTCTCAGAAATTACCATTTAATTTCCATCAATATAATAGCTCATTTATTACTTATGAAAGACTATACATTTGAAAAAATGCCTAAATATAATTAATCTTTAGATTTTATAGCAGAATATGATATCCAGATGAAAGATCCGACCTTAAAAAATGAAGACTGTTGAGCCTGTTCCCTTAATCTGATTTTCCTTGTTCCATGTCAAGTTTTGACTCTTTCCCCACATCTCTTCACTACACTTTCTAAACAGGTTCTATTGAGAATTGACTAAATGTTTTACCTTTGCAGTGGCCATTTTTGTCGTTCTTTTGAAGATTCTGAGAAGCGTTATGAAGAGTTAAATCTGCATAAATTATTTCCTGCTCACTTATTGAAATGGATCTCTTAGCATCCTTAGATTTCATTTGCTGTCTTTTTGAGTTCTTGGTCAGATTTATATCTGAGTAGATTATTGTTTGGTTATTCATCTCTGCAGCAGCGGGGTGCCAAGCTGTGTGCACTATGGTAAACTGTGCTTAAGAAGGAAATGTATGCTTTTTATATGACAAGATCAAAGTAGGTCGGGGAGGCAGGGTGTTCTTTGCAGCTGAGAGTCTCATGTTCTGACTCTAATTCACTTGGAGTCTCACACAAATGTCTCATGATGGGATAAGTAATTTTATTCTGCATTCAATAAAACAATAATACTTGGAGTAAAAAACGCAATAAATTATTGAAAAATAAATGTGCTTCATAAATGATAATAGCCTTGCTTATTGAAGTCAGTTTCACAGAATTAAATCACTACACTTCCTGGGTTAAAATTAAAATGCTGTATTGGGGAAAAAATACATCCATTTAGGACACCTTTCTAATATAATAATCCTTAAAGCCTGGGCGTTCCATAGAAGTAGGGGTTGGAAAGTTGGCATGTATAATCATTTGTTACACTAAATTGCTTTAATTTACTGACTAATGTTGATTTAGTCTATGGAGATGAAAGGGCATGGTATTTTTCTTATTAATGAATGGGTAGAGTTCTGAGAAATCAGTGCATATTTGAACACTGTTGACTCAAACTTCCAGTTCATCACAGTGCACATGGGTTCAATCCTTTAGTTGTATTACTATATTTCAGTAATATTATTTAATCATTTTTATAGTTGAACTTAATTCTGGTGCTGTAGGAAAAATCCTGGACTTCTAACTACCAGGGTTAGCTCCTAGGGTGAAAGATTAGACCTGTTCCCTTAATGATTTACAGTTTTGAGTCAGAATGGACTCAATGGCTATTACTTTTTTTGTTTTTGTTTCTTTGTTATTTTAAATTGTTTATTATTAACTATAGATTAAGATTTAATGTAAACTAATTCATCCTTTTTTTTAATAGAAATGTTAAACTTGTGTAATATAATCTGAGTAA